CAAGGCGTTCGCACAAAAAATGACTAATTGGGCGCTGAAAATGAAGGGAGCCGGAAAGTTGGAAGAAAAAATGGAGCACTTTAGAGAGTTTCTGCGCTACGAATACTTGGAAACAACGTCAATGTTAGATTAGGGGAAAGGCTGGGGAGGTGATGAGCAACTGAATGGGTTGAAGAGTGAAGAATAATTAAAAGTTAGTAATAGAGTAATGCAAATTAGATCGACATTTTTTGTAAATAATTACTTACTAAGAAATAAAATGTTGAATAAGCGCACCTTTGCAAAAAAGAATTCAAATTCAATGACAACTGTGTCCGAATACTCGTCTCTAAGTAGCATAAATAGTTGTTTTGAGTAGTAATTTTTGTTGACGTGTTTATTTGAAGAAAATCAAAAAGCATTTAGAAATTTACTTCATTAGTTTATTATAGTATTCCACCTTGTTTGATTAACGTAATCCTTTTTGTTATGTAAAAAAAATAATTATTTGGCGATATCTCGATTTGGGAAGTATACTACTTTTTTACGAGTTTTCACCTGGTCATAAGGTTAAATTAAATTAATATATTCAATCAAATATTCAATACAGGTGTCAAACAAACAAAATTTTAAGCGAGCTTAATTTCGAAGATATTTTTCAAGAGGGTTGCCACCTGTTTAAAAACGAAATTTGGCACAAAGATGGTTGATGACCTGGATTGAAAAATTTGCTTTCCCGATTGGAAACAAATTTGACTCACTTACTAAGGGTTTCACAAGGATGGTCTTAGAATGAGAGTAATTCCGGTAACTCAAGGCCCCTCCCATATAAATTGGAAATTTTCATAATATACATATACATATCTCTGAAAGTATTTGTGGGTGAGAACTGGAACTTGGTATGAAATTCATACTCACAGAGAAAAACGAACGCTTTTGGAAAAGGGGCGTGACACCTCCCATACTACCTCTAACTAAATTTCATATTGCATGTCTCTTCAAATATTTGAGGTAGAGTACTCAAGCTTGGTGTGGAGATATATTTGTATGTATGTATGTGTGGCGTAACAACTCTCATGCAAATTGATTTTTTTATGCTTCATTTCTCTGGAGGTGTTTGTTGCAGAGTACTGGAACTTGGCACCGAGATGTGCATACGAAATTAGTTTCGTACTCATGGCGAAAAATTGGGGTTATTCAGCTAATTTGAAAAAATATTTTTTTTTCCACTCTAAACAAACCTATTGCCTATATACCCTGAGGAAGGCCTTTAGCTCCTGAAATTATCTTTGGGTTTATTAAGGCTAATCAAATTTGCACAAAATCATAATGATGCAGTATATATTTAACACCAGACACGGAGCGATACGCCTGCAGCGCTTTTTCTCTATTTACATACTTTCTATGCTTTGAAAACACATGTTATCATTTGCCTTGGAATGTCAAGGTTACTCATAGCACTTCAAAACCGTTCCCTTTTGTAAAGTGGCATAATTATTTTTTAATAAATAAGGTAAATAAAATAGCCTTGCCTGCAAGCATTTATTTAGAAGCGCTCTCGAAATTACCAATTGGGTATTAGTAATAGTAAATAATAGAATGTCTGTATTTCTCACATTACTTCCTGCCATTACTTCCTAGTGCAGTTCATCAAAAGGTTTATCAAAAATCCATTTCCTTTAAATAGAACTTAATAGACCTAACAAGAGTACCTGACCTTTATTGATTCAAAGTTCATGGAGTATGGGGATGTACTAAAATATAACTATGGGACCAGTACATAAGCACCAATGAATGTATGTTGAATCTATTGTATAGCCTATACACTGTTGTTGAGTAAAAGTCAGAAAGGTATTAGTTTAAGCTCGAAACATTACGCACAAATGAAAGTAAAATTTAAGCGATAACAAAGGTCAAGGCAATACCATTTATCTTTGACCTCGGGCTTTTCATCAATATCTAAGTATGCAGTTAATGAAAGTAAGAAATTTTCATAAGTGTATATGTATGCGGAAATGACTGCTGCATAAGTAAAGGAATAAACATACATACATATCTGTGTATGCCGCACCACAAGTAGTTTTCATGCCTTTTTCCGAAGTGAGAAACTTTGTTATGTTAGTGGTTGGGCGTTGTACATTTTGTACAGTATCGGTAGCCTACGCCATCAGGGCGATTTGTCTTGCGAACAAATGTACTTTTGAAAGCCATCAAAGAATTCCCATCTTTCTTCAATATCGTGCACGTTTCTGCGCCGTATTAAAGGACGGGTATGAGAAGACAGCCAACGCACATTGTGACTTATGTATAAAGAAATTTTTGTTCGACGAGAAAGGGATCTGCTATCCACCTGTCTACCAAGCCCAAAGTAGCACCTGTTAGCCAGAATAAATTCGCATGATCCCCAGACGGATATTTTATATGCGTGTATGTATTTGTATTAAAAAAATTCTGCAAGTTCTCATTTTTAAGGTGTTAAATATAGAATACCAATTTTATTTGATTTAATGTATATCATAGCCTAAATGTTAGCCATTTAGTATATATATATTTGTGTACACATTTTCAAAATCGTTGTCAAAATAAAATCATTTATTGGTATTTCGTTTTAGTATGGGAAATAATAAATGACCCTCGTGCATGTGTCCCATTCCGAGGGACAAAGCCAAAATTTTAAATAAGTTCAACAAATGTTGGAATGTAAGCATATGGCACTTTTTGTTTGGTTAACCTTGACCGAGCGGCAAAACAAACC